TTCTTATATTATACTGAAATACTTTTAATCAATAAGCTAAATTAGGGATTTATATTTAAAACAAATTACAGGGACTAAATTTGGATTCAACCTCTCATAGTTTTCATCTTTAGTAAAAACTGAGATCAAACGAAATAATTTAGGTGTATATTATAACTAATAATATAAATTCAGTTTGATAATAAAATTGGTTTCTTCCTAACCTATCACAATTAGTTTTTATCAAGTACTGGTTATTGTGTTTTACTGGAATACACACATGTGTACTAACATTTTAATCAATTATATTTATATATAACCATATATAACTCAATGCTAAAAGTAGGTCATGTATTTATGCATAAAAATAAATATTAACCACACAGTAAATTGAATAGTTATAAATATGTATAATTACCATTCTTGGTTGAATAGTTTCTGTCGGTGGCATAGGGTTATTGAAGAACACCGGATCTAATGCTGTAGTGTGTTCATTTTCAGAATGGGGAATAAACATATTATTTTCTCCATTCATCCATACAAAATTCATATGATCTAAAATAAAATAAAATGTCTTATAAATATTAAATTAACAACTTAATTTTAGACAAAATTATATTAATTTACAATAATGTACTAGAAATATTAAAAAATTTAAAATTAATATTGAAATTCTAATTTTTAATAAATATAACTAAAATTATTTATTATAATGTAATCATATTTTGTTTTAAATAATTAATTATTAGATGAAACTAMATAGGTACCTATACATAATTATATCATTATTTTAGGGTTTAACTTTATAGAAGATTTTCATATGTTAATACTTTTTATCAAAAACCATTTGCGGTGATCAATTAAACCAATAATTTAATAGGTAGAAAGTAGATACAACAGCTTAGAAATAAACAAGTAACTACTAACTACCTATGTTTTTTTTTTTTTTATTCAAAAACAATCTGTACAACAAGCACATTTAGTWATTTWGATATAGAATATATACATAGTTTATTTAAAAAAAAAACAACAACTTTTAAGGAAGTCACCCATTGGTAACACCTAAGAACTTATAGTCGGATTTAGATCACTTAAGGAGATCTCGATTCCAATTACGTTTGAGCCTGCGAGGGGGTTGCCTGGGATATGCAGTGAAGCCATATCTTTAATGAGAGGATTAGTACTGGAGTTGAGTTGGGAGTGGAAACGGTGGTAGTGAATTTTGGCGTAGTCATTGACATT